ATTGCAAGCCGTGCTGCTGACTTTTACAATGACAATGTTGTGGCCCATTTTAGACAAATCTTAAAGGAACGGGAGGTACAGAGCTCTATGGACAGATATGTTGTGTGACAGAAGTCCAGTGATTCAAGCTGGTCCTAGTGGCATTAAAAGAAGGGAAGTAACCCCGGAAAAGGACTTGCTACCTCAAATCCTAATGGAGGGGGATTCCCCTTCTAAACAATAGGTTCAACACTCTCCCCTCCTCCCATCTCATCAATCATCACCAGATCTTCATTAAAGGTAAGTGTCAATTATTCTGTTGTTATTCTATTGTTATTGTTGTTATTGTAATTATTCTATTGCATTAAATGTAATATTTCATGTGGTAAAAGTTTTCTTTTTCATACTTTTGGGTCTCTTGCACGGATTAATTTGATTTCCATTATTTCTTATGGGGAAAATTGATTTGCTTTCCGATAATTTTGGTTTATGATGAGCTCTCAGGAACGGATTAATATCGCAAACCAGGGGGTCCACTGTATAGAGTGGCAGGAGCCAGGTGAAGTGTCGTGTGGGTAGAGATGGTAGTAGTAGTAGTAGAACTAAGGCGAGATGGATGGCTAGAGAGGGACCTGTTGACATCATGTAACAGCAGTTTCCAGAATGGGTAATATCCTGTTGATTAGCAATTTTAAGTTACTGTAATACCGGGATGTTGTTTACTGTAATACCGGGATGTTGTTAGTGTCTTCCTGTGTAAAAACCGAGAGAAAATAATTATTAAAAATTGAGCATATTTCATTCTTCTTGTCAGTAAGATGCCCAAAATTATTTTTAAGGGGACCTATCTTATCTCTAACTTTCATTCTATAAATCTGGAAAAAAATCTTTTGGGTTAGTTTTTGAATCCCTAGCAACTTTAATTCTGTAGTCCCGTTTAGCTTTTCTTATACCCTTTTTAATGTCCCTCTTAATGTCAATATATTGGTTCATAAGATGACTCTCACCTCTATTGATGTGCCTATAAATTCCTTTTTGTCCTAAAAGATATTTGAGCCTATTTCTCATCCATTTTGGGTCATTTCTGTTCGATCTGATTTCTTTATACGGGATAAACGTTCTTTGTGCAACATGTATAGTGTTTAGGAATTGTCAAATTGATAGCTCTCTTCGTTACCCCAGTCAACAGATGATAAGCCCATTGTAATCTGGTAAGTGAAAATCTGGGACCATTACCGAGTTGTTCCTACTATCATACTTCCATTCAATGCTAAAGGTAATAGATTTGTGGTCACTTGTGCCGAGTTCCTCTGTAATTTATAAATTATTAGCAAGGGTTTCCTTGTTTGCCAGAACCAAGTCAAGCAGGTTATTTCCCCTTGTAGGTTCTGTCTGACTGCTTCAAAAAATATTTATGAACTACTTACAAAAAGTCGTTATTCTAAATTCCCAATCAAATTTTTCCAATCAGTTTGACTAAAGTTAGTTCCCTAAAATTACTGCATTTTCGTGCCTTGTGGCCATAACAATTTCCCCCCAAAGTAGTCTCCCTTGGTCCCTATCTAAGTTTGTTGGACAGCATATCACGCCTAAAATCAGTTTCTCATACCTCTCTGAAAATTCTATCCAGACACACTGTGTCATTTCAGACTTTATACCTGTTTTATGCAACAATTTAAACGATCTCGGACATAGTGCCACCCCACCCTCCTTACCGATACTTCTATCTACTCAAAACAATTTAAAACCCTGAATGTAACATTCACCAAGCATGTCCCGATTTTTCATATTAACCCTTTCAGGGTCCGTCCCGTAGATCTACGGCTTTGCGTTCAGTGTCCAAACCGTAGATCTACGTCATGAGCTCAGCTCACTCTGATAAACTGTGAGTGGTACACTTGGGCCTAGATATGAGAGAATACATCTATGCGGTATGTGTGCACCACATAAAACAAATCCTGCAGCACACTGTGTATAATGAGAGAAAAAAAACTGAAACCAAGATTTTCGATTAAAACAGCAACTTTGCAGTGTTTTTTCGTATGTTTTTTATAGTTGTATTTGCAATTTCTTGGTCTCATTTGATGGAATGGAAGACATATTACAGAAATAGAGATGATTTTGATTGGTTTTAGCACTGGAAATGGCTTGAAACTGAGCTCAAAGTAGCGGAAATGTTAAATTTTTGTCCATGTTCAAGAGTAAACAAACGACCTCACACGTCTAATACACGCCAGCTGGTGAATCTAATACACATTCACAAATGTGGTGATGATATTTATACAATTATTACAATATTGCATAACAGTAAATCTTCTATTTTTTGGTGTGAATAAAAATTCATTAACCCTTTCAGGGTCTGTCCGTAGATCTACGGCTTTACGTTCAGGGTCCAAACCGTAGATCTACGCCACGAGCTCGGCTCACTCTGATAAACTGTGAGTGGTACATTTGGGCCTAGATATGAGAGAATACATCTATGTGGTATGTGTGCACCACATAAAACAGATCCTGCAGCACACTGTGTATAATGAGAGAAAAAAAATGAAATCATGATTTTTCGATTAAAACAGCAACTTTGCAGTGTTTTTTCGTATGTTTTTTATAGTTGTATTTGCGATTTCTTGGTCTCATTTGATAGAATGGAAGACATATTACAGAAATAGAGATGATTTTGATTGGTTTAAGCACTGGAAATGGCTTGAAACTGAGCTCAAAGTAGCAGAAATGTTAAATTTTTGCCGATATTCAAGAGTAAACAAATGACCTCACACGTCTAATACACATCAGCTGGTGGGTCTAATATACATTCACAAATATGGTGATGATATTTATACAATTATTACAGTATTGCATAACAGTAAATCTTCTATTTTTTGGTGTGAATAAAAATTCATTATGTGGATAAAAAATCAAAATGGAATTTATTTGTAAAGCCTCAAAACGTAACTAATGAACCGAGGAAATGTTAGTTTAGTGCCAGGAATGCCTACATTGTTTATTTTGGATGCTATTTTGAAATTGGAATATTTTGAACTTTGTGTTAAATTGGCCAAATTACCAATTTCCGATCACTTTATTTTGTAGTTGAAACAGTTGACTTGGCGATTTCTTGTGCTCAATCGATAGAATAGAAGTAATACTAGTAAAATAGCTAAGAATTTGGTCGACTGGAATGATGTAATTGGCCTAAAATGGAAGTCAAAGTCGGCAAAATCGCCGATTCGTAAATATCGCTGACACATCAAAATTCGCGAGAGCATAATTTCGTCAAATTTCCATCAAATTTCGTACTTTTTGTTTTATTACCTTCGCAAAAAGATTCTCTACCATTTCATAAGAAAAAATAACAAATTTTTTTTTGGAAAATTCTTGGACACTGGGGCACCACTTCAGATTTGGGCCTTGGACCCTGAAGGGGTTAAACCACATAAGACAGGAGGAACACTGCAGTAGGCCTGTTGGCCTATACTTAGCAGGTCCTTCACATATCCAACCCACTAACAGAATAAACGCTACCCAAGCAATAAGCTTTGGTAATTCTATTTACTCACGTCAGGTCCCACTCAAATCCAACCCCTCTCACTCGTGCATTTATCTAACCTAAATTTGAAACAACCCAAGGTTTTAGTTTCAATAAGACCTTGGAAAAAGGGATGGGGACTGTTGTGGCAGGCTTCCTTGTGAAGAACATTTTGATGGGCAACTGAGACCATTTCTTCATTTCTACAGAGTTTTGTAGGGAATTATACCTCTATCAGTGTCGTTAATCACCTTCAAAGCCCTCAACTTAAAAATGGTTTGGTGGTTGGGAATTTGGCGGCTGGGAATTCGCGAATGTTCGAAGCCCGCGAAAGTGGAAAATGCCAATGTTGAGGGAGACCTGTACTGTGTGTGTATTTAACTTTTTAATGCCTAGTTCTGTTGTTAACTTAATATAGGTTAGTGTAAACTTATCTGGCATTTATATGCATTTCTTCTTTCTTTCAACACACCGGCCGTATCCCACCGAGGTGGGGTGGCCCAAAAGGAAAAACGAAAGTTTCTCCTTTCAAATTTAGTAATATATACAGGAGAAGGGGTTACCAGCCCCTTGCTCCCGGCATTTAAGTCGCCTCTTACAACACGCATGGCTTACGGAGGAAGAATTCTGTTCCACTTACCCATGGAGATAAGAGGAAATAAACAAGAACAAGAACTAGAAAGAAAATAGCAGAAAACCCAGAGGGGTGTGTATATATATATGCTTGTACATGTATGTGTAGTGTGACCTAAGTGTAAGTAGAAGTAGCAAAATGTACCTGAAATCTTGCATGTTTATGAGACAGACAAAAGACTAGCGATTCTACCATCATGTAAAACAATTACAGGCTTTCGTTTCACACTCACTTGGCAGAACGGTAGTACCTCCCTGGACGGTTGCTGTCTACCAACCTACTACCTAGGTTATATGCATTTATAAATGGGAAAAAAAAAAATGGTGTTCTGCTTTCCGCCGAAGTCTGCTTTCTGGCAGTAGCCTGGAACCTAACCTGCCGTATAAGTGGGGCCCTACTGTACTCTTAATGTAAATTCATTATGCATATGCATAACAAAAATAATGGAAATTTCCATATAGTCATAAAAACATTTACATCAGTTTTCAGGCTTTTTTCCACTTATGTTCAGTATTGGTTTCCTGCACCAGTGTCTAGCAAGGGTCAGCCATCAAACTGAACATTAGGTTTCCCTGATGTGTGTCTTCTCCATCATGGCTGTATCCTGGTAAAATTGTTTACCAGGGGTTTCTATTTCTCAAACTATACATGTCGGACCATAACTAAAGTTCAGATTTTAATTCAGCATTTAGTAAGAAACGTGTCTTTTTAAACATAAACTGAAACCTTTGTTGGTCAGTGTAATCAGAGGTGTACCAACATAACCTAACGCTTTTTATTAGTTGAATTTTCCTTATCAGCTGTGATGACTATATTTTTGTAGATACTCAATTTCTTTGCTAATTCATACTATTTGGTTTGCAGTTGCAAACACCTTCAATACAAACACAAAGTAATGCCCTGTTGGACGACTTATTTGGGAATCCAACCAGCAATGGTATGTCTAGTCCTGCAAAAGCCTCTCCAAGTGGTGCTGAAGATGATTTTGACCCCAGAGCAGGTGAAGTCAGCAGTGAAAGCAGCAAAGCAGATTTTGGTGACTTTAATACAGCATTTGCAAAAAATACAATAGATTCTTCAGGGTATGTACATATGCTTATGTATACCTAGTTTGACAGCTCTTTAGGTGTATGTTTTTTGTTTTGAACATGTGTATTAGCATTCACACTTGGTATGCATTTACTGTAGTCAAAAATATTTAGAATGTAGGTATTTATAAACCTTAAATAGTGGTACAGCAAGTGGAGTTATCAGTTTGTCTGGCAGTTCGCCTTTCAAAATTATCCAAAACAATGCAAAGAAGAATCCCTCTGTAGTTACTGGGGTCATTAAAAGAAGATAGTTGTCTTGGAATAGCAAACTATTCTTTAATTCAGAGGTTCATACTCTTATTTTTTTTTTTAGTCCTATACTCTTGAGAATTTGTTAAAAGCTATTTGCTCACTACACAGAAAAGTGCACATGAAACACAGGTGTGCATGCTTGTGCACCTTCCCCCCTCCCCAGGTGCTATGGGTATACCATTTTACACCTTGTTTCAATAAAAAAGTCAGGCTTTACAAAAAAAAAAAAGCTAACACAGTTTTCTTTCAGTAATCTTACTCTTTTTGACATTGACAAAATTGAAGCTAAATGCTCCTGCCTTGAGAATTTTTTGAGAAAATGTTGTGAAATACAAAAATTTGATTTAATTGAATGATACAGTAGAAACCTAAACATGACTATTATTGAGAGTGCGATTAGTTCTTGGCATATGTTGCCTTCCCATATGGCATTGACAATTGAGAAATCATTTAATTACATTTTATTGTTGCCCCTTCATGGTCTTAGGGGACCATGGAGGGCAGCAACATCTTCACTGCACCTTAGAGTGTAGGCACTATATGCCTCGCCTCCAGGATTAAAGTCGGTTTCTTCACTGAACTTGGCATTTTGGGTGTGGGCTAGGAGGAACATGGCACATGGTAGCTAATGAATCTCCAAATTTGGCACAATTGGCCTGAGATGCCTGGTCAGCATAGAATTGTCTTAACACTCGTTGAGCGCAATATTAAAAAAATCTGGGACTATTTAGTACCTTGTGGGAGCACCAATTAAATTGAGCTCCAGCTAGAGCAAACAGTGCGGCGAACACCAAGGATTCACTGATGTCATGTCATATTAACACTCCTCTTTTAAGAGGAAAGTCATGTTAACCCCAAGTTTAGGGTCTGACGATCTGTCTCTGTGTCTGTCTCTTTCAATCTGTCTTTGTCTATCTCTGTCTCGCAGGTACACATAAATACAAGTATACGTACTATAAATTACCTAGGATAACCCAAAAATCCAGACAAAGTGCTATACTCTGCTTGAACATGTGAGTACACGTGATGACACAGTCTTGTGGCTCTCTCTCTGAGACACAAAACTAGACGGATAACAGATAGACGGGAGCTTGACAAGACAAATACAGACAGAAATGTTTGTGTACCAGCAAAAACAAAGCGAGGGGGATGGTCAACTAATCTTTTATCATCAGCTGCACCCTCCCCCAACCTCATGTTGCTCATCAAAATCAGATTTTTATTCCCCTTACATGTCACTGTCAGGGGTGGGCTTGTTTTTCATGCTTCAAGAAATTATTGGGCTTTATTATTATTACGTATTATTAATTTTACCATTACGTGTTTTTTATTATTACTACTTATTACTTCCTCTTCCTGCTCCTCTTCTTCCTCTTCCTGCTCCTCTTCTTCCTCTTTCTGCTCCTCTTCTTCCTCTTCCTGCTCCTCTTCTTCCTGCTTCTCTTCTTCCTCTTCATGCTCCTCTTCTTCCTCTTCCTGCTCCTCTTCCTCCTCCTCTCACTCTTCCTCCTCCTCCTTTCACTCTTCCTCCTCCTCTTCCTCCTCCTCTCATTATTATTATATACTTCCACATATCCAAAACATTGCTGGGACATAGAAATACTGTGTATATATTCCAAGACAATAGTAAATGGCCAAGGCAGGTGTAAATGTCCACCTGTCAATGTGTTTATGACAATTTGAGCACAATTTCAGTACCTAATACTAGTGTCAGAACAAAGATTTTTTATGAAATAACAAGAACTACTATAAATTGTAATTATTCTTCTTTAAACGCCGGCCGTATCCCACTGAGGCAGGGTGGCCCAAAAGGAAAAACAAAAGTTTCTCCTTTTACATTTAGTAATATATACAGGAGAATGGGTTACTAGCCCCTTGCTCCCGGCATTTTAGTCGCCTCTTACAACACGCATGGCTTACGGAGGAAGAATTCTGTTCCAATTCCCCATGGAGGTAAGAGGAAATAAACAAGAACTAGAAAGAAAATAGAAGAAAACCCAAAGGGGTGTGTATATATGTGCTTGTACATGTATGTGTAGTGTGACCTAAGTGTAAGTAGAAGTAGCAAGACGTACCTGAAATCTTGCATTTTTATGAGACAGAAAAAAGGACACCAGCAATCCTACCATGTACAAAAATTAGGCTTCAGTTTTACACTCACTTGGCAGGATGGTAGTACCTCCCTGGGTGGTTGCTGTCTACCAGCCTACTACCTAGGATAAATTGTAATTATATGAACATAAAAATTATATAAAATAATAGGAAAATAGAAAAAAAGGTATATCGGCAACACTTCTGCAAGTGACAGGACTCGAAGTTGCCGTCACGTGAGCATTCAGCGCCAACTTCTCGGCCTCATATCTCTGTAAGTATTGACCCTAATTTTTTTTTATTCTAAAACACTTAAAAAAAAAATGTGCTCTTTTGTATGAATTTTTTTTTTTTTTTTTTTCCAAAATATTTGGGGCACTGCACAAGTGAATGTATATGTATGTTTGGACCATTTAAGGGTTAAATTAATGAGATGTAAATCCTAAAAAAATTGTAAGTCAGGATGTCTTAGGTTAAGGTACTGTTGTAATAACAATACAGTCGCCTAATCCTTTTGGGGTGGGTCTGTTGTTTTCTAAGCTTTGAAGGTGGGTTGGTCCCCCTGTTTTTTTGGGTGACTCAGCTCTCTCGAT